CGTTCATATTTTCATTTAACAAGAAACAGCAGCAACAATATTGCATCTGATTCCCTACAACCGCCGGCTCCGTTCCAGCCTGACCTAGCAAGAGCATGGGAGGAGTGGAAATCATCGCACCTTAACTTCGAGGCAGCCTGTGAATATGCATCCAAGCCTATCGCAACTCGGAAAGCTTTTCCGCTCCACTGCCTTGGACCTCAGGCAAGACGAATTACGCAAACCTTTCCTCTGCAACCAACGAGAGATTGTCAAAGGCGGGCAAAGAGAGAATGCAGTAGATTACATACTGCACGAATTTGATTAACTGTATGCACCTTACAAAAGCGTCACACAAGCGACAGCCATTTTTAACACAATGAGCCAAAAGCCAGAGCAAACCGTTGACGAATTTGTAACTGAGCTAAAACTGCAGGCTCAGAAATGCGACTACGGAGCTCAGGAAAACAGGCTCATTGGTGATCGTGTCATTATTGGGATACGAGACGTGGCTTTGCGCGAACGATTGTTTCGGGAACCGAGTCTAACCCTAGACAAAATCATTTCAACCTGTAAAGCAGCTGAAATCTCAAAGAAACACGTGAATGATATTCAGAAAACTGAAGACGAAGTTAGAGTTGATGGACTCTATCGTCAGCGATCCAGCTTCAGAGCAGCGCAACGAAGGTATCAACCATCCGAACCACAAAAAGACCAATCCAGCAACCGACAGCAAAGTTCATGTTCGAGATGTGGTACTTCCCATCAACCCCGAAACTGTGCAGCTTACGGAAAGCACTGCCTTTCCTATGAAAAGTTTGGGCATTTTTCCCGAATGTGCAACCAAACACAGCAGAAAACGATTCATTTGGGAGGCATAACAATTGGGCCTCTTCCATCGACCAAAACAACAGCACGGTACGAAAGCGTATACATTAATGATATTTCGAAAACCTAGGTGAAAGAGCTACGAAGTAAAGAGACAGTGGCATCCGTAGAGAACTTCCAACTGCTCAAATTCAGGCTTGCGCAAACTGGAAGAAGGCTGGAGAGGCGGTCAAAGAAAAAAAAGGGCATGCTGGCATCTCGCGCCAAAGAGGGACAAGGCCTGATTTCAGAGTTGGTGTTGGCACAGGCAGAAATGCAGCGAATGTCTTTGGAGCACGAGAGAAATATCGAAGCGAGCTTTGGCCGTGAGCAGGCCCTTCAAAGCGAGTGCAAGGCAGCTTCGGCTCTCCTGGGGAAGATGCAAGCGCAGCAAGCAGAATTTTTTCATGCCAAGTATCAGGAGTCCGAAGCATTGAAAGCCCAGTTAGTTTCTCTAAGTGGGGATTTGACAAAGCAGCTGGAGCTGGTCGATGCCAGGGTGGAGGAAGCGAACACCCTGAAGGACAAGTTTGAAGCATCTCAGCTTGAGCTCGAAAACTTTTCTGCCGAGTGCATCTTGCAGGGTGTCCTTCTTCAAGACTGCGGCGAGGACTTGCCGGTAGTTGTGAATGATTCTGAACAACGAGAGTTCAGAGCGTTTCAGTACCTCAAGAAGGTGCTGGACATCGCAAAACGCAAGAGAGAGGCCATGGAAAACCAGTTTGCTAAAAAAGAGGAGCAGTTCAATCTACTTCAGAAAAACTATCAGTACTTAATGGACCGGTACCAGTGGCCGTTACAAGATCTCGGGGCATTTGTCCGGAGCATCATCGAGCACACCAACCAGTCGTCAGAAGCTGCAGTGTCTCTTGAAGCAAGTCAGCTGGAAAACTTGAACTGTCTGCTGGCAGTGCTTCAGGAACGGGTGACATCCTTGACAGTTAGGAACGAGCTCCTCGCTCAAGAAAGTCAGCAGTGGAAATCCTCTTGTGAAGGTGCGAGTGAAAAAATTAGATGCCTGTCTGATGAAAGTCGCCTCTGGCAGCAGAGACACGAAAAGGTGGCGGGTACTTTTAGAGACAGAGAGAATGTTGTTAAGTGTCACAATTCGTCGCAAACGGAAGCAGACGGAAGCTCCATTACCGCGAAGGCAGAAACAGAGTGTGACAGATTGGACGAGGAAGTAAGCAGCCTCCTAAAACGAAACGGAAAGCTAGAAACCGAAACCGACGTTTTGCGGTCAGGACTTTCCAGCCAGGAGGAGCAAGCCGAGATGCTCGTCAACGACAACAAACATTTTCAACAGCTATCAGAGAACATAAAACAGGCACGACATTGCCTCGAGGAGGAGCTGAAGACTCAGCGCGAGCAGCACGTCAAGGCCACCAAGGAGATGGAGAACGATCGAGCACTGCACTGCGCTGGACGAAGCGGCAAAGTGTGAGGCAGCACTGTCAGCGCTGAAGACACACTACTCCCAGCTGTTGGACAAGTATAACCACATTGTATAGAGACAGAGGAACCTGCAGGAAGAGTTTCACGCGGCAGCCCAAAAGAAACGCAATTTGGAGGACAGGTGCGCACAGCTCACAGAAGGGTGGGCAACAGCCAGAGGAGCTCTCGCAGTCTTCGAGGAGCAGCAGGCGCAGTGGGACAAAAGACCATGCAGGAGCTGCAAGAGCTGTGGCAAGCAAACCAGCAGTTGCAAGAGCGCTTTCGCCTTCTTAAGGACAAGCACAAGCATCTCAAGGCTGAAGAACGGTTGGTACAGGCACCAAACCAAAAAGTGGGAGCCTCGATGGAACATGTCACCGAAGGCACTGGGGGCACAGCGAGAACTTCGGAGGCACCAGCAAGCCGAGTGGAGATAGAGGAACTCTCTCGGCGGTATGAGTCCCTGGTGGAGCAGCCTCGAGCAAAGGAGAGCAAGTGGAACCAGAAGAAGAAGCAGCTGAAACAGATCGAGGACTTACAGGCGCAACCGGTACCACATCAAAGAAGCACATGGAAGAGCAGAAACGAATACAGCTGCTGCAAACTATTTCCCTACAGTCTCAAACAAAGCTGCTGAAGACTATGTCCCTACAGTCTCAAACGACGAATCACTTGAAAACATTTCCACGTCTACAAAATCAACAAGATAACCAAAAACAACAAGAAGCGGACGCGTCGTGGTGAAGCAGCTACGATATAGAGACTGACAAGTGCCGCACTCGCATTAAGTTATTTAAAAAAAAAAAAAAAAAAAGAAGAAGGGGGCATGTTATGATGTCATGAGGCTCTCTGATCTTAGAAGAAGAGGACATCCAGTGAGCACGCTCGCAGTGTGTGGCACGCGCTGTTGCGTTTGGAACTGACGAGCAACCGCCATAGCTGCTGCTATGATCCCGTATGTTACATATTAAACAGTTTGCTTAGACCATTTTCCTGAGCTTAACTAGCAACATAACACTAGTGACCTATAGTCAATCGCAAAGAGGTTCCTCACCTGACCCGAAGTGCAGTCCACAAACTCTTAGTTGGGGTCTAGGACGACGGTTGACCTATAGGGTGATCTCAAGGACAACAAGGATTTAGCGTCGTCCAAGAGGACGACGTTAAATTTAGCGGCGAATTTCCCCGCTCGATTTAGCGGAAAAATTGACGGCACGAGCTAGGCGCCAATTCAGTTTGCCCGGTAAATTTGGAGGTGTGCAACGATATATGCTATCGCATTATAGATAATCACCCCGGTGTTTTTTTTTGTGTGTTTTTTTTTCTCTTACTTTGCATAAAAAACAGCGTATTCGCGCATGGACAGGTTTAAATAAGTTGCCAAGCGCTCGAGAAACGTCAACTTGTCGCGGCAAAAGGGACACACCTAACCATTCAACTGCTTTCTACCTCCGCTCTTTTGTCGCTTTCTTTCTCGTTCTTTCCCTCGGGTCCGCAGATGTTAGCGCACTGGATTTGCCGCATCCTGCTCCCGTCTTTACCCGCCGGAGCCATTCATAGCGCCTGCGAACCGACTGACCGATTGCTCGAGTGTCGCCTTGTCCTGGTTCCCGATTATTCCGGAATTGTAAAAAGACCGATACTGCTGGTCGTAGCTCCGTTGTCGCCGGCTTTTAAGGCTGGAACAGTTGCTTACGGCGGAACTGACCATTTAAACCTCGAGTGAAAAGACAAACTACAGTGCGAATTGTATTAAGATCATTTGGTGGGCTAGTTGACTATACATCTTGGTAACATTAGCGCAAAGACAAGAGAGGAAGAACGCAGAGACAGGATAGAGCGCTACTTACAACTGGCGTTTAATACGGTGATAGAAGACAAAAAAGTATTTGTCGTTCTTTGTCTTTCTCTCACAGTATTAAGCGTCAGTTGTAAGTATCGCTCTATGCTGTCTCTACGTCCTTCCTTCCTTGTCTTTGTGCTAATTTTACCAAGATACAGTGCGAACACGGTCCCAAAAGCACACGAAACATAGCATAACAACAACGAATGCCTCCAACATGAATTCGGGGCAGGTTCCGGTGACATTTACGAACCGGCAGTTGCCGACTCATGTTTACAAACAAACCGGAGCGCCCCTAGCGGACGCCACCGGCGCCGCGCATGCGCGAAGACTGTGGGCAAGAAGCTCGCCGTCGCCCATAAACAAACCATTGGAAGGAGATGTTGTCGGCGTCGGTGTGATTCCCTGTGCACTTGTTTACGTTAGAATCGCCAATTATGCAATTTATAGAACATGCACTTACTCGCGTATAGTTCTCCACGGGATCTGGTCTGACTTCGAACCATTCGAACCATGGTCGATTGCAAGTAGGGCATCTGGCTCCCGCCATGCCTCTGCTCGCGCGGGCAAGTATACGTGCACGATTGTCAGCTTGCCAAAACTGTGTTCACGTGCACATTGCACGTGCTTGCACGCATGGGGCACCTGTCGGGCGCCATGCTTGCAATAGACTATGGATGGATGGATCAATGAGACTGAACCCTTTGATTTGGCCGGCCACTTGCACTACGTAGCCGCTCCTCAAAGGGACCATGAAGGCAGTTTCGAAGTTTTATTCGACGATTGAAATGGATGTCAGGCACGTCTCAGATACTGTTGACCATGTTCTAGCCCGAACAGAAGTTTAGGTGCCGCACCAATCGAGCAAACAGGCGCGGTAATAATAGCGCCGGGAACGATGCCTGAGACCCCACCGAGGCGGCGGCAGAAAGGTGAACTAAAGTGCGCCGTTGAAGCGTGACGACAACGGGCTCCTCGTCTGGCGATTGGTTCAAACGATAGACGCGCTCTTGGTTTCGATTTCAGTGGTGAGATGTGATGAAAAAAGTTTATTTGAACGTTGGATAATATTTTAAAGTTGTAGTTGGGAATTAATAGGTTTCATACCGTGTATAAAAGCATAATCTGAAGCGATCCCTCCGTTTGTCACTGGTTGAACGCATCTCGCACTGCTACCTCGGGCGCGTAACAAGCATCGAGCAGAGAAAAAAAAAAAAAGTTGGCT